TAATACATTTTACTTGCACTTTGATGTTCAATTATTTACGAAAATGCCACCACGTTTTTTTTAAAAATCAGTGTTTCTCATGCATTAGATCTGGACACGTGGACGGACAGAATCCATTCCTATTTCGCGCCTGGGCGAGCCGTTCGCACCCGAGTGCAACTCTCTCTCTCTCTCTCTCTCTATATATATATATATATATATATATATATATATATATATATATATATATATATGTATGTATGTATGTATATATTATTAAGTTCTAGTGCGGGTAAGTGTCTCTCGTACGGTTGTGTGGGTGATTAATGTGCGTGAGTTTTGTACTTAAGGTATGTGAGTCTTTTGCTTAATGTGTGTGAGATTTGTGCTTAATGTGCATGCGTGAGTGTGTACTGAGTTTTGTGTTTAATGTGCGTGAGTTTTGTACTTGTGCGTAAGTTTTGTGCTTAAGGTGCGTGAGTTTTGTGATTAATATGCGTGAGTGTGTACCTAATGTGAGTTGTGTGTTGAAACTTAAGGTGCATGAGTTTTAATTTGTGCTTAATGTGCGTGAGTTTTGTGCTTAAGGTGTGTGGGTCTTGTGCTTAAAGTGCGTAAGTCTTGTACTTAATGTGCGTGAGTTTTGTGTTTAATGTAAGTAGTTGTTGAAAATTAAGGTGCGTGTGTTTTGTGCTTAAGGTGCGTGAGTTTTGTGCTTAAGGCGCGTGAGGTTTGTGCTTAAAGTGCATGGGTTTGTGTTCTTAAGGTGTTTTGTTTGTGTGCTTAATGTGCGTGTGCTGTGTACTTAAAGTGCTTCAGTTTAATGCTCAATGTGCGTCCAACCGCACAACAGCATGGGATGCCCTCCCCGCACCTGATCCCTTCCCTATATATATATATATATATATATATATATATATATATATATATATATATATATATATATATATATATATATATATATATATATATATATATATATATATATATATATATAGAGGGACGCACTCAGGTGCGAATAAGTGCCCAGGAAGGAAATGCGAATGAATCAGCGTGTGACACGTGTCCAGATCTAATAACTTAAAAAAAAAACGCGGTGGCATTTTCGTAAATAATTGAACATCGAAGTGCAAGTAAAATCTCTTATAAGTGCACCTATTTTCACCTATAAGTGCATATAATTTTGCCTTGTTAGCATTCACTTTCCGCAATCATTCATGCACATGGGTGTGCTTATAACTATATGTGCAACTATTTATAACTATCAGTGCAACTACTTATAACTATAGGTGCACCTACTTTTACCTATAAGTGCATGTAATTTTATCTTGTTAACGTTCATTGATCTGAGTTCAGCGGGTAGTAATACTCCTGAAAACCACTCGCAAACATTCATACACCTAGATGCAACTACTTATACATATGTGTGCAACTACTTAGAACTATAAGTGCAACTAAGTATTGATGCTCAGTGTAAATTTTTACTTGCACCTATAATACATTTTACATGCACTTGTAATACATTTTACTTGCACTTCGTTGTTCAATTATTTACGAAAATGCCACCGCGTTTTTTAAAAAAACAGTGTTTCTCATCCATTAGATCTGGACACGTGGACGAACAGAATCTATTCCTATTTCGCGCCTGGGCGAGCCGTTCGCACCCGAGTGCAACTATATATATATATATATATATATATATATATATATATATATATATATATATATATATATATATATATATATATATATATATATATGTATGTATGTATGTATATATATATGTGTGTATATATGTATATAGTGAAAGGTTCCCGTGCGGTTGTGCGGTTATTAATGTGCGTGAGATTTGTACTCAATGTGCGTGAGTGTTGTGTCTAATGTGCCTGAGATTTGTACTTAATGTGTGTGAATGTGTAAAATGCAGTAGAAAATATGGTTATCAGCTTCTTCCCCATCCCCAGCACTGCTTCCCAAAGTGAATAGTGTGTTGCTCTGCTTTACTGATGTTTACAATGAAATAAAAGCTTCCCAAAGTGAATACACAAATTCTATCCTTATCAATGGTCTATGCAGACCGATCTTGGTGCGAGAATCTGGAACTTTTGTTGTTTGCTTCAATTCCATCATGTCAGATTTGTTTATTTATTTATTTATTAATTGATTTATTCTGCTATGGTGAAGGTGAGTATGGAGGACATAGAAAAACTAGTGGAAAGAAACAGAGAATTTTGATCTACTGGTGATTGGTCTGCAAGAGGTTCCTCGGATTAATGTTTTCAGATTGTTGAAAATTCTCTTATTACTCACGCACATTAAGCACAAATCTCACGCATATTAAGCACAATACTCTGACACATTAAGTACAAAACTCACGCATATTAACATGACGCACATTAAGTACAAATCTCAAGCATATTGAGCATAACACTCACGCACATTAAGTATAAACCTCACGCACATTAATCCACCGCACAACCGCACGGGAAGCAACAAATGCACCTGATCCCTTCCCTATATATATATATATATATATATATATATATATATATATATATATATATATATATATATATATATATATATATATATATATATATATATAGATATATATATAATGACACTCAGGTGCAAATGCTTCGCCCAGGAGCGAAATAGAAATGGATTCTGTCCGTCCACGTGTCCAGATCTAATGGATGAGAAACACTGATTTTTTTAAAAAGCGCGGTGGCATTTTCGTAAATAATTGAACAACGAAGTGCAAGTAAAATGTATCACAAATGCATGTAAAATGTATTATAGGTACAAGTAAAAATTTACACTGAGCATCAATACTAAGTGTACCTATAGTTATAAATAGTTGCACCTATAGTTCTAAGTAGTTGCACACATAGTTATAAGTATTTGCACCTAGGTGCATGAATGTTTGCGGGTGGTTTTCGGGGGTATTACTACCCACTGAACTCAGATCAATGAATGTTAACAAGGCAAAATTACATGCACTTATAGGTGAAAGTAGGTGCACCTATAGTTATAAGTAGTTGCACCTATAGTTATAAATAGTTGCACCTATAGTTATAAACACACCCAGGTGCATGAATGTTTGCGCGAAGTTAATGTGACAAGGCAAAATTACATGCACTAATAGTTGAAAGTAGTTGCACT